GGCTTATTCTAGAAGCTGCCGTCGCTTCTCTAAAGTTCAAGCAATTACATTTTCTGACTGGTTGCCATTTACTAAAGTGTTTGTCCCTCTCTTTGACAGGTTCCTTTTCTCTTCTTCTTATACTGTATGCTGTTCTTTAGAATTATACATTATTAAAAAGCGGAGCAGATGCCATGACTCATTCCAAATGTGTTTGTTTAGTCGAGTTCAGGTTTTAAAAGCTCAGTCAGTTCCATTTAAACGTCCTGTGGAGATAAAAAGCCGCTCCTTGAAGGGACATTTCTAAATGATTTTTTTTTTTTGTCATAGGTTTTAAATATGTGGCCTACCCTTGAGTTTGGTATTGTCAGAAATTGTTCCAAGGTTTTTTAGATGGTAGTGAAGGCTACAAAAATAAGTTCAACACGAGAGGCCAAAAATACTTTTTAATTTAGAGCTAAACTAGAAATTCAGAATATTTTATTTAAGTGTGGCATGACTTGTTCAGTTTTAATTATGCCACTGATTAGCAGTAAGGTACTTCCATGATGGAAAAAAAAAATGTATATCGATTATTATTAAAATCAAGGTCATTGACAGGGTTACTCATTGAAACATGTTCCGTTACTGCACCTAAAGAACTTCAGATGATACGAGCGTTAATAATGTTGAGCTTTTTCTTTATATAAGTGGAAGCATAATATTTAAATATTGTCAAATATCATCCAGTCTAATGGAGAAATCTGGTACGTCCACAGCTGTCTTTGATCCATGTCTCCGTCCTGTGGAGAGTGGATCCGACGGCGGCCTCTGCGTTCATGCATCAGCAGGTCCGATTCTGCAGCAGCAGCAGCAGCAGCAGCAGCAAAATTGCTGCTGACTGGAATGAGTGAGCACAGGCCGTTGGTGTTGACCTGGTGTAAAATTACACACCAGGACTCTGCCCTATGAGCCTCATGTGAGTGCTCCAAAAGGCCACCGCCTGAAGTAGACGGCTCTGAGAAGAACTGAGGCTCCTTAAGATTTGATTCCACCGAGCGGAGGAATCTGTTTCAGGGTAAAATACGAATTTAGCAATCGTCTGTATTTCCGATCTTGTCCTCGGTATGAGTCTGACAGCTGTCCCTGAGGAGAGGGAGTCGGAGATGGACAGGCGGAATGGGACAACATCTCAGGGAAAGATGAGGGATGTGTATATCTGTGTGTGTGTGTGTATCTGACTGAGAGAGAGAGAGAGTTCGAACCATGATTTGTTTGTTGCTCGGTGGGAGAGAAAAAAAAAAATTCCCCTCTGTTCGACAAAATTGGTTTGTGTTACACTAACGCACCCACTTTATGTTCACATCAGCAATTACAGTTACGAGCATTGAGACGGAACAAAAGGACGACGTCTGTGTGTGTGTGTGGGGGGGGGGGGGGGGGGGTTACGCGTGTGAGTATGTGTGTACTCAGTTTACTCTGCTTCATTAGTTTATATTGTAAAATCGATGTCGCCCATTGTGCTGCTGCAACCTCTGCTCTGATATGTGTGTGTGTGTGTGTTTGTGTGTGTGTGGTTCAGGAATTGTTACCCAGGGGAAAGTGTACAGTATGTGTGGGTGTGTGTACCTGTACATGTGGGTTAGCATCGATCAGCATCGATTCTTTTTTTTGTTCCTCCATTTGTATTTAAAACATTCCATTATATATATATACATATATATATGTATATTTATATATGTATATATGTATGTATGTATGTAT